CACAAGAGAATGAAAGGACAACTTCCTAACTGAAATATAGTTATGTGCAAATCACATTATCTGAAAGAAAATCTGTGCCTAGTATATATAAAGAACTCTTAGTGCTTGACTATACAAAGTAAATAACCCAGTAAGTAAATGGGCAATATTTGCAGAGACATTGTCTCATGGCAAATAAGTACATGAAAAGATGCTCATCATCATTAGTTATTAGGGAAATGAAAATTAAAAAGACACCGAGAAACCAGTGCGTACCTTTTAGGAAGATTAAATTAACACAACAAAGAGAGTGCACCAAGTGATGGAGATGAACATACCATCCCCACAATTATCACTATTTGAGCACATTGCCTGTGTTATATGTACCATTTAAAAAATAATTCAGGCCCTGGCTGGTGTAGCTCAGTGGATTGAGCATAGGCCTGCGAACTAAACAACTGTGGTTTGATTCCCAGGAAGGGACACACGAGAGGCAACTGTACATTAATATTTCACTCCCTCTCTCCTTCCCTTCCTCTCTAAAGATAAATAAGTAAAATCTAAAAAAATAATAATTTAGATCTAACATTAATACCTACTTCGGTATTACCTGGAAAATAATACCCCTGAAACCACAGATTCAGATGTGGGTTTTTAAAAATGTCTTCATATTGTTAACACACCTCCTTTTAAAAAGTGTAGGGCTAATTTCTCTACCCTTGCATATAGGTTGGAGTTACCAAATCACTGGTAACAAAAAGAATATGGTAACTTCCTCTTTGTTTTCTCTCTTAGAGACAAACCCTGGAAAAACAGAGGGGACATAACAGGAGAGAAACCAAGTAACTCCACAGAGCAGAGGCGAGGTCTCCTCTTGAGGGTCACGTGAGTAAGTCATCTTGCAAGAAGAAGAGCCCCAGTGAAGACATCAGATGACTGCAGCTTCTGTCAACATCTGAACTGCAAGCTTATGAAATCCTGAGCTAGATCTGCCCATCTAAGCCCCTCCCAAATTCCTGACCAGCATACATGATAAGATAATAAATGTTGGTTGTTTAGCTACTAAGTTTTGCAGCAATCTTTTATACAATAATAGATTACTGTTGTTGTCAGTTTGGGCTGCCACAGTTAGACTGGGTGACTTAAATGACAAACGTTTATTTCTCACAGCTGTGAAGGCTGGAGAGTCCAAGATCATGGCACCAGCAAAGGAGGGGTCTGGGGAGGGCCAGGCCTGGTTCGCAGAAGGCTGTGTTCTCCCCGTGTCCTCACATGACAGAGACAGGGTGAGAGCAAGAACCTACACACATGCTCTGGGCTCTTCCTTCCCCTGCAAAAGCACTGATACCACCATGAGGGTTTCACCCCTCTGACCTCAACCAAACTAATTGCCTCCCAAAGCCCCATCTCCAAATGCCATCCCACTAGGGATTAGGCTTCAACATATGAAGGGGGAGAGGCACAGATGTTCAGTCCATAACAATGTGGTTACACATTTCTCCAGTAGACATTATAGAATATAACCAAATGGCCTTTTTCATTTGGTTATAGTGGTGACATTTCAGTAAGAATTAAGCAAAACATTATTTGAGCAACAACTTTCCTGAAGTCACTAGGATGTAGGCTGTGTGCCCCAGGAGGTACATAGTTAGAATTACACTAAGTGCATAGGTGAGAAGGCAATTCACTACACACAATGGATGTTCTAGAACACCAGGGTTTGATGCTCTCAGTGAACATCAAAGGAACTTGAGAGAGGGCCACTGCATGGACACTAGAACTAGACTGTATTATAGTCCCCTTTTATCTAAGGTTTTGTTTCTATCTAAAAATAGTACACGAAAACAAATCCAGAAGTAAACAATTCTTAAGTTTTGAATGGCACACTTCTGAGGAGCATGATGAGATCCTGCCTTCTCCTGCTCCATCCGACCGGGACGTGAACCATCCCTTTGCCCAGTGTATCCACACTGGGCTGCTCCCCACGTTAGTGCCAGAGCAGACATCTAGGTTACCAGGTCAACTGTTGTGGTATCACAGTGCTTCTGTTCAAATCATCCTCCTTGTATTTACTAAGGGCCCCAGAGCCTAAGAGTTGTAACACTGATTGGGACATGCCAAAGAAAAGCCATGAAGTGCTCATTACTTCAGTGCCACTAGAAGGCCAGTAGTGGCCTACCACTGTGTCACAATGCCTTGGTCATTCGCCTCCTCCCACAGCCATTCTGTCACCTCGCATTGTCACAGGAAGGGTGAGTGCAGCGCAATAAGATATTTGGAGATCGAGGGGGAGCCATGTTTACATAACTGTTATAACAGCATATTGTTATCATTGTTCTATTTTATTACTGTTATTGTTAATTCCTTACTGTATCTAATTTATAAATTAATCTTAAACATAGGCAGGTATGTATAGAAAAATGTGGCATATATAGGGTTTGGTATTATTGGTTTCAGGCATCCAGGGGGTACTGGATCATGTCTCCCACCTCTCTCTGCGCCTTAGTTTCCTCATTTGTAACAGGGGACAATAATAGTACCTACTCTCTTCCTTGAGTTATGAGGATTAAATGAGTTCATGTCTATGTTACAAGGTCAGCACATAGTAAATGTTATTTAAGTGTAAGTCATTATTTTTGTAAGCACTTAACTATGAAAATGGTAAATATTTGTTCATATGTCACCTAAAAATCATCTCGCATTTTTATTAGGGGTACATACTGCCCACTAACCCAGTGATAAATGATTCCCTTCCCCCCACTGCTAGTCCTCTTGCCTGAGGTTCTTCAAAATGTTGCATTAAATCTTCCAAGTTGCTAGAATCAATTCAATAAGAAAGTGCTTCTGCTCAGGAAGCCCCAGGAACTGCCATCCCTACCCTGCACAGATGAACAGGGAGAATTATGGGTCTGCAACCCACAGTGAGGAAGGGGGAATACAAGGGAGCCCAGGTTTAGAATCTTCACTGAGCTCTCAGCCACAGAAGGAGCAGAAATTGTCTGCCTCTTTCTTTCATTTCTCCTGAGCACTGATTCTAAACTTGAAATTAAATAGAAGCTAAACTCCAAACAGAGTTGACCTTCTAAACTTCAAGTGCATAGCATGGGTTCAATATAAGCTTGAAAGAGATACTGGCATGTATCTCAGAGTTACTGACGGCCTGGCTCCTGGAGAGCAGCTTATATACAGGGAGAGGCTGACCCAGGGTCTTAATGTAATAACTATCATAGATTAAATGTACCTACTTATCTGTAATGTAAGAATAATCCTGTGATTTAACTGCTGATAATACTTGTTTAGTGGATGAGAGCCATGTTACAACTGTGTTTGAAAAGAATTTTAAACTAACCCTACTGTGGGCAAGGCCCTTGGTGGGCACTTGAGTGCTAGTTTGAAGGAAAAAAATGTGTGTAAGAAGCATGTGATGTTTTTGCAGTGGTTTGAGGGCTGGGTTTGGTAATTATACTCTCCAATGCAAAAACCCAATGTGGCATAATGAAAAACACACCTCTGTTCTGCTTCCAAAGCGAATTCCAAATACAGGACGGTCTTTGCCCAGGCTGACTGTGTTCCACGAAGTGTGCCTGTGCTCCACTTCTGTGTCTGTGAGAACGCCCGGATGAAAATAGGAGACATGAAAACGGGCTGCCGCCTCCCTTTTGTTCCTGTTGAGTCTGTGCCCCTAAGCTACCCTCCTCGTCACCCTTATTGCTCAATCGACCTATTTGAAAACACACACAATACCAGCCTTAATAGAAGGAAAAGTAGTTGGGTGGGTAGCAAATCAACTGTGTCGTTCAAATCCTCATCACAATAAAATATTGTTCATTAAGTACCCTGCAGAGCTATAAAAAGGATGGTTTGTGTTGGGTAGGAATAAAGAGACAGCAAGGAATTGCAGAGTTTAGTGCAAAAGTCCTTTTTTGCTACAAGATTTGTATCCAAGCCTTCCCTACAACATCAAATATTTGGCTACAGGAACTCAGAACGACCAAAAATGGCCTCATGGATTTTGAACCACATATTATGAACATTCATAACATCTGTCTTCCCTTATCTAATAGCATTTGCTAATCAAAAGGGGAGATACATTCAGTCTCTCTGTATGAGAATCAGTAGGTATAAAAATATCATGTACTTTCATGGGCAGCCTACATGGAGGGCATACATTATTCACTATTTACATATTTTTGAGGGGCTTACCAACTAGGTTATGGGGTACTGTTCTCTTTATATTCTCTTAAGGGTTACTCAGTGAAGAAATTCCTCTCAGAAGTCAGTATCTGGAATGACTGTAATTTTCATGAACAACTTTCATAAAAGGGTTTTACTCTTTTTGCTTTTGTTACTAGGCAGCTCAATGTTTCACAACTTATACTGAACTTTTAGATATCATTTTGTATAATAATGTTATCCCTGGTTTTTCATCTTATTCATCCAACTCTAATTTTCCCTTTTCCACAATTTCTTTACCTATACTTTTTATCTCACTCTGTGGTTTTGGATATCTATTTTGGATTTAAATTTCTAAATAAAGTATCTAGCCCTGGCAGGTGTAGCTCAGTGAATGGAGCATGGGCCTGTGAACCAAAAGATCACAGTTTGATTCCCAGTCAGGGCACATGCCTGGGTTACAGGCCAGTTCCAAGCAGGGGATGCACTAGAGGCAACCACACATTGATGTCTCTCTCCCTCTCTCCTTCCCTTCCCCTCTAAAGATAAATGAATAAAATCTTAAAAAAAAGAAAAAGTAAAAGCATCATGAAAGAAAGAAAGGAAGAAAGAAAGAAAGAAAGAAAGAAAGAAAGAAAGAAAGAAAGAATCTAAAAAAAAGGTGACTATTTTTTTCACCAGTTATGCTGACCAGAGAAGAACAACCATTGCTTCCTTTACCATGTGACACATTTTAGAAACCAGCCCAGTGGTCCTGGACATATTTTGGTTTATCTCTTCTTTTTTTGTCATAACGATTATTGCCATTTTTTAAATTCTTGCTGTGGTTCAAGTACTTTTTTATTTCCAAAAATATGGAATGCTTCATGAATTTGCATATGACCCTTGCACGTGGCCATGCTAATCTTTTCTGCGTTATTCCAATTTTAGTGTATATGCTGCATGAGTGAGAACTATTTTAGTTTGTTTTACATGCTCCCCGCAGGCTCTACCATCAAACACCATTTGGTTGGTTACTTTCTCCCTTGGTGCGCCTGGTTAGAATCAATGTTCCTCTTTCCCTCTCCCATACTTCTACCTCTTCACGTCTCATACATGTATCACACACTTAGAAGATCTTTGAGCTCTTCTCGAGCATTGCCTCAAAACCAAAATCACAGACAGACAGACATAAGGCCCAAACCAAACAACAGACAAACTACCCTATCTCCATCAGCAGCACCATATAAGCCAATTTAAAAAACTAATGAGAAAATGAGAAATATATCGGCAATATATGACCACAGGTAAATTTTGCTAATATATGAATCTGTTAAGAGGAAAAAAGAAACCAAAAGTACTGGAAAAATGAATTAAAGGCATGAAGAAGTTGACTAAAAAGAATACAAATGAACAAGTAACATATTAAAAAGTTGAAACTTACTAATTATTTAAAAATGTAAATTAAGACTATATTGATAGTAACTCCTCATGGAGCTGTTTGCAAATATTTTCTTCTATTTGGTTGGTTGACTTTTTGTTTTGTTGACAGTGTCTTTTGCTGTACAGATCTTTTTAGTTTGAAATGGTCCTATTCATTTATTTTTGCCTTTACTTCCCTTGCCTTTGGGGGCAAATTCATAAAATCTTCTCTAAGACTAAGGTCTCTAAGTTTAGTACCAATGTTTTCTTCTATGTAATTTGTTTCAGATATTTTATTTAAGTCTTTGATCCACTTTGAATTAATTTTTGTACATGGAGACAAACTGTACTCTAGTTTTATTCTTTTGCATGTGGTTCTCTGATTTTCCCAGCATCATTTATCGAAGAGACTTTCTTTTTTTCATTGTGTGCTTTTGGCTCCTTTGTCAAAATTACTTGCCCATATACATGTGGTTTTATTTTGGGGCTTTTAGTTCTGTTGCATTGGTCTGTGTGTCTGTTTTTCTGCCAATACCATGCTGTTTTGATTATCATAATTCTGTAGTATAATTTGAAGACAGGCAGTGTGATAGCTGTAGCTTCAGTCTTTTTTTCTCTCATGGTTGTTTTGGTTATTCAGGGTCTTTTGCGGTTCCATATAAATTTGATGATTTTTTTTCTTAAATGTCATTGGGATTTTGATGGGGATTGTATTAAATCTGTATATTGCTTTGAATAAGATGGATATTTTAACTATGTTGATTCTCCCAATCATGAGCACAGAATATCTTTCCATTTTATTGTGTCTTTTTCAATCTCTTTTAATAATGCTGTGCAGTTTTCAGTACATAGGTCCTTCACATCCTTTGTTAAGTTTATTCTTAGGAATTTTATTCTTTTTCTTGCAACTACAGAAAGAATTGTTTCTTTTTCCTTTCTTTTTTTAAAAAATATTTTATTTATTTATTTCTTAGAAAGAGGGGAAGGGAAGAAGAAAGAGTGGGAGAGAAACATCAATGTGTGGTTGCCTCTCATGTGTCCCCTACTGGGAATCTGGCCTGCAACCCAGGCATGTGCCCTGACTGGGAACCAAACCAGTGACCCTTTGCTTCACAGGCCTGTTCTCAATCCACTGAGCTACACCAGCCAGAGCTCTTTTTCCTTTCTTTTTCTGCAAATTTCATTGTTAGTATATAGAAATATCTACTAGCAGTGGATTTTTAAAAAGATTTTACTTATTTATCTTTAGAGGGGAAGGGAAGGAGAGGAGAGAAATATCAATGTATGGTTGCCTCTCATGTGTCCCCTGATGGGAACTGGCCTGCAATCGAACTGTAATCACGTGGTTTGCAGGCCTGCGCTCAATCCACTGAGCTACACCAGCCAGGGCAGTAGTGGATTTTTATACCTTGATTTTGTATTCTGTAAATTGGCTGTATCTGTTTATTGTTTCAAATAGTTTTTTGGTGGTGTCTTTATGGCTTTCTACATAAAGAATTATGTCATCTATTAAAAGTGATAATTTTACTGTTAATATCCAAAATATCCAAAAAACTCATACAACTCAACACCAAACAAACAAGCAATCCAATTAAAGAATGGGCAGAGGATCTCAACAGACATTTCTCCCAAGAAGACACACAAATGGCCAACAGATATATAAAAAGATGCTCAACTCCACTAGCTATTGGGGAAATGCAAATCAACACTATAATGAGATACCACCTCATAGCTGTTCGTATGGCTATTATCAATAAGACAAGTAATAATAAGTATTGAAGAGGTTGTGGAGAAAAAAGAAACCCTCATTCACTGCTCATGGGAATATAAACTGATGTAGCCACTATGAAAAAACATATGGAGGTTTTTCAGAAAATTAAGAATAGAGTGGCCATGTGACCCAGCAATTGCTCTTCTGGTATCTAGCCCCAAAATTTGAAAAACATTTATTTGCAAAGATATGTGCAGCACTATGTTTACTGCAGCGTTATTACTGGTGGCCAAGACATGGAAATAACTAAAATGTCCCTCAACAGATGATTGGATGAAGATGTGATACATATCCACAGTGGAATACTACTCAGCCATAAAAAATGAAATATTACCATGCACACCAACATGGATGAACCTTGAGAATATTATCCTAAGTGAAATAACACAGTCATAAACAGCTTAGACCCATGTGATTTCACCCATATGTGGAAGATAGAACTGAAACTCAGACACAGACGACAGAACGGTGACGACCAGGGGCCAGGGTGGTGGAGGGCAGGAAAGGCTAAAGGGGGCCAGACATATGGTGATGGCGGGCACACAATGCAATATGCAAATCACGTATCACAGAAATGTACACTTGAAAACTATACAATGTCATTAACTAATGTCACCCCAGTAAATTTAATAAAATAAAAAATGCTGTACTGAGAGTTTTTTGCTTATCAGATTGTGAGAAATTTTTTTAAATTCTAAAACCTGAGGGGAATGTGATTAAATTTTCCTGAAAAAACTTATGCTAAAGATGAGAAGCCTGTAAAGTGTTTTCCGCTAACTCTCACACAGATCCGTAAGGAGCAGACTCTCACACAGTGTGCAGTAGCAAGGAGCAGGATACCACCCACACGTTCATCATTAGCCTGATGACTAAGTGAAGAGCATGCACACAGCGCAACACCAGACAGCAATGATAATAAATTAGCTATATTTTCATATAGCATGAATATACCTCTAAATCACAGTATTTAAGGCTAATACATAAGAGGCAAAATGAGTACAATTAGTACAGTGCTATCTGTATGCACTGATATATATACACAATATGTATTTGTCTACCTATTATAAGCATATGTAGACACCACCGCTACAAACTTTTTAAGGATATACATATTGCTACACAGAAGAATGGACAGTGAATTAAAAGGATATATAGTAAATACACGAGAATCTGTACCTGGGAGGGAGAAAGATGGAGGATAAAGAGAATAAAAGTAACATAAGTGAAATATAAAAGAGGTCAGGCCTGGACTACCAGGCCTTGAACGGAAGTATATGAGAAATTCGGCTTTGCACAGTTGAGGTGTCTGTCTGTGGCAGAGGAAACTGTACTTAGGCTAGAATTTATTCTAAGACAATAATTAGTCTCTGTTGATGTTCTACCTTTTAAAAAACTTAAATAAAACATACTTCATAATAAAAAATCATCAGTGTAAAGCCTGATTACTTTTCACACAGTGAACACACTCATGTAATCACCTCCCGGATGGAGAAACAGAACATTTTCCGGGCCTGGCCAGGTAGGCGCTCAGTTGGTTAGTGTTGTTCCAGCACGCTGCGGTTGCAGGTTTGATCCTCGGTCAGGGCACGTAAAGGCACATACAAGAATCAACCAATGAATGTGTAAATAAGTGAAATGACAAATATCCTTTCTCTCTCTCTTCTCCTCTCTCTCTAAAATCAACAAATAAAAAATGTTTAAAGAAAGAACAGTTTCACACCTAGAAGCCCTTAGAGTATCTACCAGCCCATCACCAGCCTTTAATCAATGGCAGATTAGCTTTATCTGTGTCGGCCTTCCTCTAAATGAAATTATGCAGTTGCACTCTTTTGCATCTGCTTCTTTCATACTGTAGAATGCTTATGAGATTAACTTATTTTTAAAGAGAATATAATATTTTTTTAATTTTAATTAATTTTATTTAGTTATTTTTCAAGTACAGTTTTTTTGTCTATTTCTCCCATCCCAGCCTCCCCCGCCCCTTGCTCCCCACCTCCCTCCCATTTCCACCCCCCTTAGTTCTCGTCCCTGTGTCCTTCCTATTTGTTCCTCCAAATTCCTCCCCCTTTTCCCCCTTAACTTCCCTTCCCTCTCCCCTCTGGTCACTGTCCCCTTGTTTTCTATTTCAGTGTCTTTGTTTTTTTTTTCCCTGCTTGCTTTACATCGGTCAGGATGGCTATCATAAACAAAGCAACAAACAACAAATGTTGGAGAGGTTGTGGGGAAAAGGGGTCCTTAGTTCACTGTTGGTGGGATTGCAGACTGGTACAACCATTATGGAAAATAGTATGGAATTTTCTCAGAAAAATAAAAATTGACCTGCCTTTTGACCCAGCAATTCCACTGCTAGGATTATATCCTAAGAATCCTAAAACATCAATATCAAAGAACCTATGCACCACAATGTTCATAGCAGCACAATTTACAATAGCCAAGAGCTGGAAGCAACCTAGGTGCCCATCAGTAAATGAATGGATCAAAAAATTGTGGTACATATACACAATGGAATTCTATGCAGCAGAGAGAAAGAAGGAGCTACTACCTTTTGCAACAACATGGATGGAACTGGAAAGCATTATGCTGAGTGAAATAGGCCAGGTGCTAAAAGACAAATACCATATGATCTCACCTTTAACAGGAAGCTAAACAACAAAACAAACAAGAATATAATATTTTAATGTCTAAATATCACAATATATTTATTCTGATATTGACAGACCTTAGGTTGCTCTTGGTTTTTTATTATAATGGATAAGGCTGATATGAACATTCCTGTCGAAGT